TTTTTGGTTTTTAGAACTTTTCTCAAGAGCCAGGTGTTGTAGGAACCCAAAACTTGGCCGCCTAGGAGGAGAAAAGTTAGCTCAACAACTTTACTTAAGAGTGTGAACAAGGTTTACTTAAGAAAATTTTAAGAAATAATTAAATGTTTTTAGCAAAATTTTGGTACAAGTGATCTACGAAGAGAGTTACAGAATTGGTCAACTCTCTGCAAAAATTTTAGTATACAGTATGTACAGTATGTACTATATAGTACATATAGTACTATATATAGTACATATAGTACTATATATAGCACATTACTAGATATTATATTAGGTATTATTTTTGGAATACTACTGTATTATAGTAGTTTAATTGTATTAAATATTTAATATTCAATTTAAAACATGTGACTTTTTATTTATATAGTTTTAAAAAAAAAATTATTAAAATTCTTAGCTTTTATAAATAATGATGTGATAAAGCTATTTTAATATTATGTTTTATTTTACTAAGTAATTATACTATTATAGATATATTTTTCTACTATCGATTCTAATATTTTCTTTACATTAGATCTTTGGATATCTTCAAACAACAAAGCTTTTACTATTGTTATTGCACATTATATAAATGAATGCTGAACCTTGAAAAAAACATTAATTAACTTCAGTTTGTTAAATAGTAAACAATATTTCAAATAGATTCTTTAAGAAAATAAAAGATTATAAAATTGCATCAAAAGTTCTTATTTATTTCTGAATTATTTGCTATTTAAAACTATTATAATTATTACTAATTTTAATTAACTTATCAATAGTCATTTCGCTGAAAGTTCATTTAGCCATCATTATATAGAATTAGAGTTTAGTTGCAAATTTTGTATTTTTGTTAAATGTTACCTAGCAAATATTAATTAAATAAGCTGTTAGTAAAGTAATTATCAATAAAATAATATAGATCCATTTATGTTCTTTAAATTATGTAATAATAAATAACATATAATAATCAATTTTACTATTTATTGCGGCTGGTGATCGTCACCAGTATTATATAATATAGTGATCGGCACAAGTATTGTATCATATTATATAAATTATGTAATACTGGTGATCGTCACCAGTATTATGTAAATTATGTAATAGTGACCTTATAGTATGTGAGTATTCTATTAACTTCGCAACTACACTATTCAACTTTTGTCTCTCATTACATTGCGGGTAGGCTGTGATTTTGTAATTACTTTTAAGAAAAGAGCAAATATTTCACTTACATTAAACGAATCTAAAATCTAGTAGTCTTTTAACTTCGCAACTACACTATTTCAACTTTTGTCTCTCATTATATTGCGGGTAGGCTGTGATTTTGTAATTACTTTCAAGAAAAGAGCAAATATTTTACTTACATTAAATGAATCTTTTGGGTTGCAGCAACTAACCAACCAATCACTGTCTCTCGTTAGATCTTTCGCCTCTCGACACTTTCATCGTAAGCTATAAATTTTTGTTAGTTATTAAGCATTATGAATTTCAAAAAAAAAGAACCCAAGGTGCTATATTATAGCTTGCCTTAAGTTATTATTTTATTGTGGAAAGGTACTAAGTAGAATCTCTTTCTTTATATCTTCAACGTAGTTATAGATGGATAAAGAGAAACAAGTAATGCCTACCGGGTTTGGTGAAAACCTTCCTGGTTTTATAAATAATAAAGTATTTGGAACTATTCCTGGTGTTAATAGCTTAGAGTTGTTTGATCTTGCGAACTATAACTTGTCCAATATTGCAAACTATGAATTGTCTGGTCCTTTGAATTATAACTTGTCCAATCTTGCAAACTATGAATTGTCTGGTCCTTTGAATTATGAATTGTCTTGTTCTTTGAACTTTGGGTTGTCTGGTTCTGTGAACTATGGGTCATCTGGTTCTGTGAACTATGGGTCATCTGGTTCTGTGAACTATGGGTCATCTAGTTCTGTGAACTATGGGTCGTCTGGTTTTACAAATTTAGAATCATCTAGTCCTATGAATTTGGAAGCACCTAGTGCTACGAATCTGGAGTCGTCTGGTCTTACGAATTTGGAGTTGCCTGGTTCTACAAATTTAGAGTTGCCTGGTTCTATGAATTTGGAGTTGCCTGGTTCTACGAATTTGGAGTCGCCTGGTTCTACGAATTTGGAGTTGCCTGGTTCTACGAATTTGGAGTTGTCTGGTTCTATGAATTTGGAGTTGTCTGGTTCTACGAATTCTGGGAGAATTGGGTTAACTAATAATTTGACTAACCCTGAAAGTTCTGGGTTTGACAATAATGTGAATGTTAATAACAATC